TTGACTATTTTTATTTATTTAATATTACGACTTTTCTTATAATATACACACAATGCATTTTTCAGTATTTACTTCTCAATTTTTGTCAATGAAACTTTCACCATTGCATTCATCTCGTTTTTCTGATTAAAACTATAACAAACATAGTATAATTATTTGCCTAATAAGTGATTAAACTTTCGAACTTCAACTTATTTTCACATTTGGGGAAAGATGAGAAAAATGAATCTTCAGTTTCACTTGGAGAGTTTAATGTTCTCAAGCTGATAGAACCATTCAAAGGATATGTGAGGAATGTAGCCACAGATAATATTTTTACGAGCCTATTACTAGTCACAAAATTGCTAGCAAAAAGAACCACTGCTGTTGGCACCATCCATGGAAACAAACCAGAATCGTCAAAGCTTGCCAAACAAATGAAATATAATATGGCACGGTAATCAACAAAACTATATAAGTTAAATTATATTATTCTTACAATTGATAAAAGTCAACCAAATAAAAAAGTGGTTCTATTTTTAGAACTAAAATACTAAAATAAGTAGTACTCAATGCACAACTCAATTGAAAGTGAAGAATGTGATAAGCGTATATTGGAAGCAACTAAACTCTATAATAGCACAAAATTCGGTGGTAGATATGACGTATTAAATGGCTAGAACATACGGCATAAAATTGAAATCTTGTAGATGGCACCCTTAAGTTTTCTTTAATATTTGTGATCTAGTTAGAATAAATGCATGAATTTTATAATAAGAAACAACAAGGAAACAATTTCAAAGTAGCAATTTTTGTTCAAGTTAACTGAAGCACTTACTGCTGAATATCAAGAATTACAGGAAAACAAGAAAATATATTAAAAATATCAACAAATATAAAAAACATGCGAAATAAGTTATTGCAAAGACAGCAAGATTATGAAAATCTGTTTGAAATACAAAAAAATATGTGTACTGCAAATGTACATTTGAGAAGTCAGTAATTTGTGAAAAATGCAATGAAAATGAATAAGATATGCATTATTTATTTATAAATGCAAGAATCCACATAGAACTACTGTTCATTTCTCATTTCTTTTCATGCAAAAAATATCTTTTTATTAAGGACCGGTTATTTAACCGGACGCGATACGAATGTACATAACGTGTCAGTAGGTTTAGTGTATAAAGATTGGTTAATAAGCTGAAATTTTATAAAGCGTTATTTTATAAATCACAACAAAGATGTTCTGATTACTCAAATCACTAAATATAATTTGACTAACGTATCATTGTCATTTTTTTTCTCGTAAACATACTTTATATGATCAGCTTACAATAAATCCATAGTATAAACAGGGCGCGAATTATCAAATCTTTGTGACAATTTTATAAATGTTTAAGTTACTCGAGGTAGTATTTTTTAAATGCTAAAAATATATAATGCAATACCTGACATTTAACTTAACTAATAATGCAAATTAAAACCATCTTCTTTTATTGTGGCGTTTGTGTTTTACCTCAGCCTCGTCTATATCTTTATCGATGTCTTTTTTGGACGTTTTTTTCGATTTCTTTTCTTTTGTTTTTTTCTTTGGTTTGCCTTTTCTCGTTCTTGAACAACAAGGATCGTTTATATCGTTATCCGGTGCTTCACTTTTGGTTTTAGCTATTAAATAACGAACAATTCAATTATAATATATGTTAATAGATTTTTGTTATTGACAAGTTTACTTACCAGCAAAGAGACCCATATGTTTATGTATACTTCTATCTTCCTCTATTTCTCTGCGGCGATCCATTTCCAAACATTCGATTATTTCGTTTCGTCTTTCAACAATTTGTACAAGCCTGTTAATGAATAAAATTAGAGTGTATGCTTAAGCAATTATCAAATAAACATTTTTAAGATAAAGGAGACACTTTAATATTTTTATATAAACACTATTTGTTAGTTTCTTATAATCACACCGTAATACACATCTCATCGAGGGCTGTCATCTCTCACATTCATTCATTAGAATCATGGCCACCGTTTTACAGAGTACAATAAAGAAAAGTTTAAACAGATTTATTATAATTTATAAGAAAATTATACTGGTCAATATGAATTTTGTTACTGTCATTAGTAGAAGCCGATTAATATAATTTTACGATTAATATATACTACATGAAGTTACCTACCTCTGTATCAACGCTTCTTCCCGTTGTTTGTCGTAATCCGTTTTCGTGGATTCGCTTTGTGACATTAAACATCGAATTTGAAATTCCACTTCAACGTGTTCTTCTTCTAATCTTTGTTGCCTCCGAAGTAACATTAATTCAGCTTGTCGTCTAAATAATTCATTTTTTTCATTCACAAGTGCGAATAATTCCAAAACCAGTTCCTCTACATCTGCTCGCATAGATACATCTGAAATCAGTACCAATATTTAATGCAAGAAATTTACTACAGAAATCTGAATAAAATAGAAAAGAAATCAGAACATAATTACCATCATTATTGGATCCTGTTTCACATTTATTTCTAATCAATTGTTCCAATCGCACGCCCTGTTTTTCTAAACCTTGTTGCTGCAATTCAATTTCATCTAATTCCAATTTGACGTCTTCAAGGGACATTACTTTTATCTGAATAATAAAAATATTGATTAATATCATAAACGAAATAAGATGAGTCTTTGTAATGGTAATGAATATTTATGAATTTATATATGTAATTAACGCCTACGTTATTATTGATGAGATTACTGAGAAAGAGAGAGATGCAATGATTTGAATTTTTCTGAGATGTTCGAGGACCTAGTTCATTGTACAATATCTATAAAAGTCATCGCCAAAATTATAATTGGTTAAAATGATAAAAAAATTACGTTTTACAGTGTCTCCATTTGATGAAATTTTCAGCATGCAAACAAGTTAGTGGGATTGACAAAACGCAGTGTTGCAATTTTCATTACGGGCTCAGATAAGAAAGTTGAGAGGCGTAGCATTGTGTCTTTCTTTTGTTATTCCAAGCAGTTACATTTTTAGTAAAATAAAAAAAGATTAAGTCATTTCATTCAATTTTAATAAAGTTATCCTTTTCGAAAGAGAATGCAACATATAAATAATGCAATGAATTTGTAAAAAAAATCATGAAATGGAAAATATTTACTTTTCTTCTATGTGGTATTGGACACGGAGGGGCCGGATTCTTCTTTCTTTTCCATTTCCCTTGTGTACTTTTATCTGTGTATGGCGAGTGATAATCAGGATTGTCTGTGTATGAAATGTGCGTCAAACTTTGTTTAGTTCTATTGGCTTCATCCTTATCCAGTTTTTTATCCTCCCATAAATTTTGATTACCAGTTACATTACATGACTCGATTATTGGAGATTCTTCGAGTGTCAACGGAGTAACCATAGTCGCATTGTATGGAGTACTTGTTGCTATCGGTGGTGGAGGAGCAGGTTTTGCTTTACGCGCCTTGAGTGTTGTGCGTTGATGCGGTTTCTAATATTAAAAACACATAGGACAAATTAAATATATGTATATTGAGATAATACTCATACGTATGCGCAATCCGTAACAAAGAATGTATTTATTATAATAATGTGTTTTATAATTTAAAGACCTTTCTTAGATTGATATTGTATTTGTACATTGGTGGAAATTCGACATTCATCAATAAATATAACTGCATGTCATATCACTTCTCTACTAAATTATTTTATTATTAATCTTCCAACATTTTTTTTGTTAAAAAGTCCTTTAGTTGAACAAAGAAAATTGTTCACGTTCTAAAAATCTTTTCAAAAACATTTAATAGAGACTAATAATTCATTTCTGAGACTGTAATCATCATTATTTATTCCAGATCGCATGCATACTTTGTTCTAAAAAGTCTGAAGAACAAGATCGAACTTGGAATAAATTGAAATGTCTTTGTGGTGTAATTACGTGATAATCAGCAGAAGTATTTTGCAGATCGGGTGCCACAGGTGTGTGTTTCTCGGGTACACGTAGTTCCTTATTGTTCGGAGGTAATGGTGCTGGGTGTTTTTTCCGAGGAGTTACCCCAGGAGTTGCTCCAAATTCGGAACTTGTTAACGAAGTATTTGATGCACACAGGCTCCTGCTATTAAAATCCAACTCTGTACTAAATATTTCTATTTTATGACTAGTTTACTGTGGACATGATCGATTACCTTCTCTGCTTATTCAACTCAAGATACTTTCAGCACGATTACTTGTTATATTCACAGAAATAAGTGTAGTATGAAATATGTGCCTGAGTGTATATTTGTGCGTATGTACGAGTGAACAGAGAAAACCATGGGACAAATAATATGTTGTAATATATTTTATATAACAAAACTTTTTTATGTTGCCATTCTTGTATAAGAATTTTATAGTATATACTAGTATACGAAGACAGTATTTGTTCTAGAACATGCGTTCCCATGATGATACGTTAATAACATTTACATTAAGTTACTACTCCCGCAGAATAGAGAAAATTTAGTTTGAAATGTTTTTCAATTTTAAAGCTAATTACAAACATAAATAAAAATAGGATATCTTGTATAAAACAAAATTTAAATCTAATAGAACTTTTAAATGGAAAATTTAAAACTCTTCAGTTTACCTATGGAACTAGGTCAACAATTAGAAGATTCGTATAATGGCATATACTGTACTATACTACGTAAATCTGTACACAGCATATACACAGTGTTATTATTTACTTAATGGGAACGGTATTTTTCCTAATACTTTGGAATCTGATCCTTCTCTTGAAAATATGTTAATCACGTTCCCTTTAATTTTAGATTGTAGTATTACATGCTATGCGTCACTTTCTTTTATTATTATAACTACTTACCTTAACAATAGAATATGTACTGACATATATTCTTCACTTACATCTCATATACATAATGTATTTATTAAGTGTACCCATTTTGCTGTTCATGTACAAATAGAATTTATGTATACATACGCATCTTTTGGTTTCACGTAATAACAAAAAATTTGATGTGTAATCAGGAATAATCCAAATTGTAAGTGTTGTGAAATATTACACAGAGTATTGGGCAACAGGTGGGGGGAAAATGTAAGTTATTCTTCATGACAACGTAACACGAAAATTGTTTGTAAAAAGTTTGTTATTAATTAGTCGTTCTACTTTCTGGTACACATATGTATGTAGTATGGCAGTAAAAAGCAGTTACTTTTTATAAAAATCACTGGCTATTTGCCATGACGGTTTAAATTTAAATAATTTCGAATTTACACTGATTAACATTTCTATGACGGAATGTGTTTTGCCACATTTTTAAAACTGTATAATTTGGAAAAATAAAGGTTCAATTGAACTATGCAATGATAATACTTATATGTAAGTAGTGGAGTGTAATCGACTAAAAAATTTAAGTAATATTTATGAAAACTTAAAATACAAGTAAAAAAAAATAAAAAAAATTATAGGAATGTAATTATACTAAAACACTGTAATGGTAAAATTTTCATTTACATAATTCAATGTTTCATATACGTACTTAATGGTACGCGGTTTAGGAACGGGCGCAGGAGGTTTTCCTTGGTACTCCAGATCACTGTCGTGATCGTCGTCATCGCTCCAAAAAGGATTCAGATTAATTTGCGGTGCAGGCAAACGTCGTTTTGTTTGTACCTCGACAGTTGACTGTTCCTTAGGCGTATTATTAAAATTGGTCCTCTTCGCAGGTATTGGTGGCGTAACTTCTTTCTTCTCGTTAAATTGTTTCGTTTCAGTTTCCTCGGTTTCAAATGGGTTCGATAAATCTTTAGAACTTTGAGAAATATTTATACTGGTAGGATAATCGTAAACAACATCTTCATCGTCGCTTTTGAAAGGATTTAAATCCTCAGGGTAATCCTTATTTAGAGTATTACTTCCACAACTTTGGTTACTTTGTGCTGTAGCATCATTAGATGTTTGATCTTCACTACTTTCTGTATCTATATTAATCTCTTCAAAGCTTTTATTCGACTTCGAAGGAGACACTGATGCCGCTTCAGGTGTCAACATAATATTCTTTTCATTTCCTTCTTGACTTGGATTCCCAACATTAATATCGCTTTCTTGAACATCGATCGATCCAATTATCTTTGAATTCTGTGTGCTGCAACCTTCTGTACTTAACATTATAGTATTCTTATTAGTGCCTTCGCTCATGCTATGTTTTGGAGTTTCTACTATAACGTCTAAAAGTTTCTGCTCTTTTTCTGCTTCTACACCATTTCTGGAATCTACCTGATTTTTATTTGTTAGTTCTATATGGTCATTGCTCTGCATTTCAGATTTTTCTATTTCAGTATTTTGCGTTTTATTCTCTTTTCTTCTAACATGCTCTTTTTTATTACCATTTTCAAATAACCTTAACCTTTTTTGAACTAATGAAAGGTGACTTTCAGCGCTTTCAGGCTCTTCAGTATCATCTAGTTGTTCATTTATGTTATTTGTTTTAGTAACTAAATTATTAGACTTATCCTTATCTATAGCATGGATGGATGAAGATTTCGACTTCTGTAAGTCTTTCTCCATGCTACACTTTAATGTATCATTTACATAGTCTCTGTTCGATGAACTCCTTACATCCTGTTTCGACGTGTCTTCTTGTACACTCTGAGATTCAAACTTCAAACGAGTGTCGAGGAAATTGGCACACTCTCCTATCTCTTTCTTCACAATGAAATCATCGTTATCTGGGACCGTTGGAATCAATTCGTGTTGTGCAGTCCCTGTTGGAGAATTTATGGTGTGCTTCTCAGAACTCATTGACTCTTCATTTGTTGAATCATTTTTAATAATAACATCGTCACTTTGTTTCGAAAGTAGATTATTCGATATAAAATCTAATCTTAATCGAGAAGTTTGTGCAATCAACTTAGGAACAACTGTATCTTCTGGCTGCAACTGTTTAAAGGTATTCTGGCTGAGTATACTCCGATCGGTTTCTTTCAAATTGCTCAATGACTCCTGATCCCTCGAATCCGAGATGTCATTTTCTACCTTCTCGCCCATTGTGGTGCTGGTCGTCGGAGTACTATTATACTTTTGTATCTCGGATGATGGAATCTCTTCATCGGGACATGCCTCGCAGCAGAATTCATCTGTTTCGGTTTCATAATAATTACCGTGAGTTAACTGATTATTGCAACGAGCACAACGAAAACATGTCCGATGATAAATCAGATGGGCGACTACCAATTTCTCCGCCAAGAATACCGGAAGTCCGCATACTCTGCATGAATCCCTCCGCATACCCAGACACGACGTCACCTAAACAATTCAAACGGGGTTAGATGATTATTACTGGAACACATGCAGCAAACTTTGATACTTATCCTCTTGTGTTATTAAAACAGTTATACAGGCTGTTCGATTATTAGCAATTCCATGTTAATTCTTGTCTCTTCAATCGGGTACCCGGATACCCGCTCCCCTATTCTCTTCAGAGTTTTTAATGTTTTTATAGAAAAACTGTAAAATTTTTAATAAATATTTTTACATCGAATTACATTTTGAACATTTCTTTCGTTTCAATTGTTTCAAGTAGAAATTTCGGATGGTTCTGATGTACAGATCATTTAAAACAACATTGTATACATGGCAAAAAAAGGGAAGTTTGGAATTTTGAGAAATTATGGTTTTGTACTCTAAATTAATCCTTTTGTAGATCATAGTCACTTTTCTGTACAGCAAATTAACCCTGTTGCAGATCTGGTTCACTTTTTTGCAAATTAAATTCACTTGTTTGAGTAAAATCCATATGAAATTTAGAAATTGAATGAAATTTTGTAAATAATTATAAGTATATAATGAATTTAATTTGCAAAAAAGTGAACCAGATCTGCAACAGGGTTAATTTGCTGTACAGAAAAGTGACTATGATCTACAAAAGGATTAATATATAGTACAAAACCATAATTTCTCAAAATTCCAAACTTCCCTTTTTTTGCCATGTATACAATGTTGTTTTAAATGATCTGTACATCAGAACCATCCGAAATTTCTACTTGAAACAATTGAAACGAAAGAAATGTTCAAAATGTAATTCGATGTAAAAATATTTATTAAAAATTTTACAGTTTTTCTATAAAAACATTAAAAACTCTGAAGAGAATAGGGGAGCGGGTATCCGGGTACCCGATTGAAGAGACAAGAATTAACATGGAATTGCTAATAATCGAACAGCCTGTATAACTGTTTTAATAACACAAGAGGATANTAATGATCTGTTCTCGTTACAGTCTACTATTATTATTATTTTATTAACTTTACCTGTACTAGCCTAATATTATCATTATACTTATTTATTCTTTGGTCCATGTTTATTCTCTCTTCCTTCTGTCTATTTCCTTTCTTGTTCTTTTGATATTTCTAAATAATTCTTCTATCCTTTTTCCTTGCAATTCTCTTTTTTAATACTTATATTTGAGCCGTTTAAAACAAAAGTAGTGTAAGTCAATATTTTGCTACGTTCATTTAATACCGCTGTTTGCAAAATTGACCTTCATTTCATTTCGTGTAAAAGTTCATACAGTTATATCTCCATTGGTTTCTCGGCGAGTAGCAGAACGAATAAGAAGCATCCACTCGAATAGCGTAGGGAACTTTTAATTCATCCTTCATTATCCATAAATTAACTTCTTTGACACTACACCTACACCACTTCTGCTTTCAACGGTTCATTTGTACTTTTTATACCTATGCAGTCTTTTATTTTCTGTCCCTTCTTTATCACACAGTTAGGTCTTATCGCTCTGTATTTAGCCGATGACTGTTCCACCACCAGGACCCACTTGTGAACGAGTCGATGTCTATTCCACCGCCGCGCCGGGACTTCGCAGAATTGGTAAGGTAGGTTAATATTAGTTACCTCGTAATTTAGTAAATTATTTGGTGCACTTCGAGTTGCAAAAGTGCACCGTTGTAAGTACTAGCTATTGAAATCTCGAAAGATGCGAATTGGATATACGAATTGAACTCGGTATACTAATAGTAAAGTTTAGTATAATTACCCAAAAGAATTAGATCTTAAAAGTGTTCAAGTGTTAAGTTGTTTCGCGGAATTGAAATTCCGTGCTCTTGGTTGTGATGCACTGAGAAATGCGGGGAAATCAGAATTAACGGCCTAAGCTCGATTCTAAGCCCTGTATACACGCAGTTATAGATTCTAGGATACTGTCCGATGAGAAACGAAATCGTGGCCCTTTTAAACTATCTAAATCAATCTGAAAATGGGGGTGGGTATCAATTGCAATGGTTTGAAAAAAAGATACTGTGAGTACCAAAAAGAGCACATCTACGATATTTTTATAGTAGCAACATATTATCACAATAGTGGCTTTAGAATTTTTTCAAATTTTTCAATTTGGTACGTCATAGTTTTCGACGTTTTTCACTTCATAATTTTCATTTTATAAAAATATTATGTGATATTAAAAGTTTTTATGATGATAAACAATATACATGTGTAAAGAACAAGAATATAACTAATATAATGTTGTGCTAAGTACATTATTCTCTGTTTAAGTTGCTATTAAGTATTTGTTACTATTTATTTGATTGCATCTATTTTACTCTATTTCTTCTTCGTACAATTTCAGAGCTGTGTGCTCAGCCAATAGTTCATTAGGATTGTTGAGCCTTGTCAGGATATACGACACTAAAGAAAAGTTATATCATATTAAAAGCCGTATTTTTCTCATTCTTGTAAAAAAGTGACTTCATTTTTTGAAAAAAACTTTCGCTTAGGTTTATGGGCTCGAAAATACGATGTAACTTTTATGTGTACTATTTTTGGATATCATTTGTCGTTTGTGACTTATAAACACTTGCGTAGAAAGGTCAGTTCGAACAAAAGGGCTGATTTCTGTTTAAAGTAAACAACAGATACGATCGAAATACGGCTAAATTCTGAGGTAGGTGTAACGAACACATGTGCAAAGTTTCATCAGAATCGACGTGTATTAATCACCGGGGTTGCTCGACTAGACCCTCTTGTGTTTTAAGTAAATAGTGACGATTGATGTGCCCACTTACAATAATGTTAAGCCAAACGAATCATTATTAGCCACCCCAAAAACCGGTCTTCATCCAAAGAAAGTCATGCTCTATGTCTAATGGGACTCGAACATTATCGAATAATAGTAACTTTCCCAGTGATAACAGTTCATCCGTTTCACGTGGAATAAGGCGAGGTCTTACTCCAGTCGAGAATTTTACCTGCACTGACATTATGGTTACAATTCATATTGGCGAGATCTCCGAAAGAAACCATTTTTGCACTGATGGAATGTTACAATTAACTGTTTTATCAACAAGACTGAACAGTGGGGAATACATCCAAATTTAGAGAAAAAAAGAATAGAACACAGTTTATTGGATGTACCAACAAGATTATTATTAAATGACCAGCGTGTTCACTGGATCAAAGTCCGAAGGAAAACATTTGGGATTTAATTGTGTAAACGTTTTAGAATTAAACGATGATTAGAATAAGCGCTTGCACGGGAATCCAACGAGCTAAAGAAATTCTGAGAACTCAGTCATTTTTAGTCAGATTATGCAGTATGCAGGGTACGAACTCGCCTAGGGCCGGGTCCTTTATAATACTTGTAAGATTGGGTGTTATAGATCCTTTCAAACATAGAATTTTATATATTCAAAATTAATTAGAGTAGCTTACAGTTTGTTAGGAAAACACCTAAGTCTATTTGATCGAATGAAATGCAAACAGACTCAGCAAGTTTCCAGAAATAACGCCGTCACGTTTAAATTCCGATGTTATAGAGGCATGCTTTGGCATTTTAAGTATGCGCGGTGAATGGCACCGACAAATGAAATCGTTCAACAAAAGCAATACATCAGGCTTCCCGGAAAAATGCATTCATGATTTTGAATTACAGCTCTCGATATGGCAATAATGTGTGCGATAATGGCGCAATGCTTCTGCAAGGGGACAGTCGCTTTAGCAGAGCATGAACAATTCATTATAGGTTTGGATGTCGCAGGGATGCATTGCGAGGATGAAGAACGTACAGAAACCACAATCAATGAATCTGGACATTCTTCATCAAATTGTACATTAGAATCTTGCGTTGTAGGGTAGTTCACCGGATACGTTGCATGAAATGCATGGAAAAAAGTAGATTCGAATCACAATTTCGTTCAATGAACAATTATTAATTTCGTTTCGTTTGGATATGTTGGACGAATACGTTCACTTTGAGAACCTACTAATTCCCAAAAGTGAATATTCTAAATATTGTATACAATATATTATAAAATATTCTATATATACGTGTATAATACTGTAATAAGTGTATAATACTTATAATACTGTCGTGGAGTATATGTATATTATGAACAGAACGAGCAGAATTCACAGAAGTGTTCAATCGATCCACGATGTAAATTATCTCCTATTATAGTCGTCCTTCAACGACGTTAATGAATGTTAGGCAACATGTATATATATATGTATTGGAGTAACACTAAACTTACAGAGTTCTAAACGCGAATGACGTATGTAACTTCGTAACGACGATAAGACTGAGTTTATTTAGACTCTTCGCAACTTTTATTGTATGTATTCTTGCACTAACACAAAAATCCATTTTTACTGAGATCTTTATGAAAGAGATTTATTATTTTATTATTATTAATTAATTAAGATTAATTAATAATCATTAAGTAAGAGATGAGAATATTGAAAAAATAATTAATGTTACATGACTTTGCTTTGCAATTTTAATTTAATCGAATAAAATACTTTATTTTATGAAATTTTATTTTTTAAGAAACTTATTCAATCATTTCCTAGGGAAGGGTCCCCTTATAATTTCAACAACTTTAAAACAAAAAATGTGAAGACGGTTATTTTCACCGGCTCGGTGAGTTTAGTGTTAATTTCGTTTCAAAACAATGTAGACCTCCACATTTTTTCCTCACACTACGAAGAAGCTACTGACATTAGATTCTATCATGCTCCCGGCACCGAGAAAGTGTAGCCTAATAAATTCTTTTAATAGTCACGAACACGATATGTTGAGGTCGTAAAATCGGCCGAGCCATAAAATAATTATATTCGAGAATCAGACCAATGGATTTTCATAAAGCATCTTAAACTCGAATCAAATTCAAATTAAAGTCCGTTGTATCGACCTACCACAACGTAATAAAGTAATTATACTTTATGGATCGACCGATTTTACGACCACAAAATATCGTGTACGTGACTGTTCCACCGTTTATAACAGCCGACTTACTTAGGTGACCCCGTTTGAAATGCATCACCCTGTGTAGAAGTGTTCGAAAACAGGTGCATAAAGAAAAAGTAGGAAGAGGGAAAGGCGATCAAAAAAGAAAAGAGAACGAGCGAAGAAAGAGCGTAAAAATTTGAAATACTACAGGTACCGCAAGATATCACATCATTCTAAATTCTATCTCATTCACGCGTATTTAAGAAACTCCCACACATTGTAATTAATGTTATTGAATTAGCTAAATAAGAGGCAAAATAATATGAAATACAATACGAAGTTTGTAATGATCAAACAATGAACCCAGAAATAACAATTTCAATTTTAAAAGTAAAATCATTTTTCATAGTCCGACCGTCTAGATTCTTAAAACACTTCAACTCCCAACATGACATCACTCAACCCCATCGGTTCCTCCACTTAACAACCAAATTACCTATTTCCCGAGGTTTCTTTATTTCAAAAATATAGAAAAAAAATCGGAATCCTTACGAACGCAGTATCAACAACATCCATTTAGAATCTATTCGGAGGAGACTTAAACTAAAGGGACAAGAACCTTAACCTCATCTTGGAGAACTCGTCTGTTGTGTCGTGGTAACATAAAAAAGTGCAGCGTCACACATGTATCAAATGAATATAGCTTGCTCCTTTTCAAAGAAAAATTAAAATTACGAGAATTTTATATCGTCGAACAGTTTTTACTCTTCGATATCGTATTTGCCTTCGACCCCAAAGGAACTTCCTCTCAAGTTCCCTGACTATCGTTCTGTTAAAAAATCTGTGATGAGACCTTTTTCCTACCCCTACACAATAAGTTCCTAATCAAATCTTTGTCGAGCCTACCTTCGACGTCACTCTCGTTAAATCCTCCTCCAAATCTAAACCCTCTATTCAATTTCACTTTTATTCATGCGTCTGGACCTTAAACAGAAAGATCTCCTGCCTAAATGTTTTTTCCCGAATATACCCCTAATGTTTTTGCCGAGTAAATATCTAATGCTTTTTTCTAAGAACATCTCTATCCGTATTCTCCTTCCTAAGAATCTAGCTATAAAACGAGAATCTGACAGGAATCTCCAGTGTTTGTGCGACTTCGAATTCGACTGTAACGCAATATCTCTGTAATTTCGAAAGTCTTAAATGAAAAAAGAAACGATACGATTTGAGTAATTCGACACGACAATATCGTATACGAGTAGATATAAAAGCTTTCATACAGCTAGGCAAACGTCCATGATAGGTAGAATGTATAGTTTGTACGAATTGAAAATTCCAATGAATGCGTTTCATAAATATAACTATCTTGTGAAACATATATACGATAATCTAGAACTGCTGTTATACTCGGAAAGGAGTGGTTTTAAGTAACTTTTCCCTTTGCGAAAATGTTGGTTACTGCTTCGTTGACGAATTATTAAGGAAATAGTGCCAATCAGAGAGCCAGCGCGGACGGCACGTTCGGCACGACATTGGTCGCGAGAGCGTGGCGCCAACCATAGTCGCTCTCTAATTGATCAATATTTTTTATTAATAACTCGTTGAGAAGTCTGCGGAGGAAATTTTCGCAAAGAGAAAAGTTATTTCAAATCACCTTAGGAATTATTCCTTTCCGTGTGTAACGGGGACTCTGAGAGATCATTGTTAATTTTGAAGTATCCGCTATTATCTCACCTCTACAAAGCTATTTGCTTCATACATCATTTTGAATTCGAAATCATGCACCGTTTGCTTTTGGTACGTTATTGTGTACTCTAATCTCGTACTCGTATCTAATTACCAAGGAACTCTGTATTCAATTAAAACAGGGCTCGGAATTAACCAGCACGCAACGTGAGGATGGCGAGGGCCACGCCCCTTGACTCCCGTCGCGTGTCTCGCTCCCCGTGGTTGTCTTTTTCGGCTCGGTGCCTGTTGCTTTATACATATATGTGTGTGTAGCATTTAGGCGATCACCGGGGAGGGAGACGTGCAACAGGAGTCAGGAGGCGTAGCCCTTGCGAGTCTCATATTCCGTGCTGATTAATTCCGAGCCCTGAACTAGATATAATGAAAACATTTCAAGACACCAGAAATTTACTGCCCAAAACGCGGAATGTTATTTGATTAGGATCGTTAAAAAAGTCTTCGAATTAATTTTAAATATCAGAGTTTAGTATGTTATTAACATATCGTTTGTAATGAATAACAAACGCTAGTACCGATCGCCTTACACCTCGTAAGAACATAGAATAGAGTTATAGCTTGAAATCGTAATAGATTCCGAAACATAAGAGTATTCGATGATAGGATGCTTACTACGAATTTAAAACATGCAAAGCAATAAACGACAAAGCAAAATTACCTTCTAGCAGAATATTTCAGGTTTATATTGCCCCATTAAGTCCAAGCTTTCCTCCTGGAGAATAAAAATATATCGTGAGACAAACAAAAAAGTATCTACAGCGTGAAAGTGAAATCTTTCCTTTTCGCAGACGGACATCGTAGAAGTTACTATATTATTTATATTACTAATACGTCGGCACCAGTACTGCTATCACCATTATTACAACGATGCATTAATTACTTCTAACAAAATTATTATTTGTATGATTACCAACTAATACAGTGAATCAATCTAGAAGAAATCTAGGGAAGCTTAATCCGTGTATATAAAAAAAACAATAACTAGAAACAATTCTATAAAAATCTAATCTACCGTGCCGTTCGATCAAGTAATGTTTGTTCTATAGAATATAGTACAGTAATTCGATGTAAAAGTAAAAGTTCACTGCGATGATATCGCGTACACGTATTACAGATCTATACAAAATTATAGTTTCATATACAATGGCACATGAAAGTGTTCGTACATCTTTTAAAACGCAATAAATTTTTTAAAATTGGGCTAAATGACTTGAATTTGTTTTAAATGATCATTGTCTACTAGACAATGACTGAAATGCTTCTTTTTAATTTTGTTATTACTTGGAATTGCAAAACAAGGATAAAATGACGAAAATTAAAAAATTCCTTTCGTAGAACTCCATAATTTACATGTGTGCTGAAAAATAGCTGCAGCAAAGTTCAAAATTGTCCAAATTCAATTTAGAATGTATAATTTATAATAGATTATTATTATATCGTGCAGATTTGCATACAAGATATTCTAACAAATTAGGATGTAACAATTTGCAGAAAAATGTTCTTTTTCATAAAAAAAATGCAGATAAGAAAACCTCGATTTTTTAAATGTTAATACATATTTTCGACTCGACAATATTCTAGCTGGTGTCGAGTCGAATTCAACGACCTGTAACCTTAATCCTTGAAACTACGCTAAAATAATTTAGGCCATGGATTGCTGCGTCGCCAGATTATTGTGCGATGCAGCCGTTTATTTTTCTGCCTTTGTCACTAACAATTTTTCGCGATGCGTATCTTGTCGCATTGTCTCGTCCTACTGTTTGAGTTTAGGCTGCGGTCGATTTGGGCGATGTCATTTTTGAGGGTCTTTCTAGTGTTTCTTTGACAAATTTATTAGTTTATGACCTCCGGGTACGGCCGGAGGGTATCGGTTGGCTGCTCAGTCTCGCTTACACCCTTGTAGGAGTAACATCGAAACAGCTATTAAAGGAGTTTTCTTGTTGGCGACTCAACGTCCAAAAGTAAGCAAAGGCAATTAATTTAATACCCTTTGACCTTATTGTGTCTTGTGATAGTGATTCATCTCCCCAAGACCACAATTAGTGCTCCAAAATAGAAAGAACGCAAGAGATAAAAGAAGGGCCCTCTTCCTCCCGTAATATCGTAATAAGAACCTACATTCAACATCGCTTGACAAACCCTATAAATTGGCCACTAAAGGCAAACCCATCCTAAATAGCAAAAACAGTCAACAGCAATATTTGCTCAAGCAAAAAATAAAAGGACATATGAAGATGCGAGCAAAGACACCTTGCACGGCGTCATTGAGGACTCCACCCCCTAGAGGGGCAGCCAGACATGAACGATCATAACACATGGCAAACGGCCAAGAACTTAAAGCACTGCGAGAGAACTTAAACCAATACGAGAAATTTTAGAACTTATCAGAATATGAAGATTTCGAAAATACCTCCCAATGGCCTGTCATCTCCAAATCAACCAAATCTCCACCCATCTATATAAGCCAGATCACTATCGAATAGATCATTAACCTTCTCAACTTAATCAAACATCCACAGAAATATGATAAATATGGCAGAAATGACCGGAACATACAATTCCATAATCAACAATCTCAACTCACACACAACACCTTACTACACTTACACAACTAGGAACTAAAAACCGAAAACACTAGTGATTAAAGGGATTGGAGGAGATTTCTCCAAGGAAGAAATCCTGAGAGAACTTTAGGATCTGAACTTAAACAACGCGGAAATGTCTAAAGTTTCCAAACACCATTACGACAAGACAGACAAGTCAACATTTTTCTACCTAGCTAGTTTCACAAACACCTCAAAATTATATGATATTTCCAAAACAAAATAACTCGCGTATCAAAAAATTAAATGGGAACAATTCAGGTGAATATCCTCTCCGACTCTGTGGACAGGAAGGAGGAGACCAAATGCACCATTCCTGGATACGAGCCGATCTTCCGAGTCTAGGGCTATCAGGGATGCTCATTCCAGGGATCCCCAGGCCCGTAAGGAGTTGCCGATGCTGTCGGCTAAATACTACCCTTTACTGTGATGCAAAAATTTTGACGATTCGTCCGATCGCCATTGATTTCGATTAGGGAGGCTCAGCGTGGGTGAGATTTCGCGATTCTGACTCCGAACTGGGTCTGTGGTTCGACTTTTACGTGCAATATCGGACGGGACAGCGCGTCGACCATCTTGCATTGTTCGAGATTTTAAGGTGGAGCGATCTCGTTCTGCGGACGTGAGTACTAAATACTACCCTCTACTGTGGTGCAAAAATTCGGACGATTCGACCGATCGCCATTAATATCTATTAGGGAGGCTCCAAATTTCTTTATATTTTAGAATAATTAAGCATTTACTTGGAAGCAATGGTTAAATTTATTATCGAACTTTTACTATGATTTTTTCAGACGATAACATCAATTTAAAACGATTTAATCTAGTCTACTCATCAATCTCTCTCCGTTTGCTTCCCCATTTCATGAAACTCAAGGTGCTCCAATCTAGTCAATTCGGAAGTCTTCAGCCACGGCGCTGGAGTGATTAATAAACACGAAGTATTGTCGAAAAGAGATCGAACCGTATCTATAATATTCATAAACTCGGTTTAGACTCTTCTCGTTGATATTTCATAGTGTAACAAACAAATGGAGCCTTGTTAATCCAAGTCTGATCAAAGGCAAGCCTGTTCTACTACTCAGCTACCTATCATTCTACCAAGGGCGAACAAAATCTCACAGATTTTTCAGAAATAGAGTGCGGATCTTTATGCACTTATTTCATTGACGCATTTATTTCACTCGTCAAATTTAATTACATTCTTGCCACATGGAATTTTTCAATGGAGGAGCATGAAACGTTCTCCGATTACAATTTCGATTGTTTGGAGTTTGCATAAAGATCCGCGATTTATCAATAGATTATCAATTTCGCGGGGATGTTTACGACGAAAGATGACGTCTCATGTTGCAGATCACGAAGCAGAGCAAAAGAGAGAAAACTGGTCGACCGAGGAAGCACTGATTGCATCGCCGCCTCTATCTGTTTGGTACCTAAAAGAGGGTACAGCACAAGATCGGGACAATTCCGGTCTTATGGCTGATTTTATCATCATTATGATAACGTAACGTTTGGTAAACATGCATCTATTTAATCAGTAAACCAACTGCTACCACTATATGTTGTGACGTTGCAGAAATGTGACAAGATTATCGAAAATTATCGCGAACGATAACGTATTCCGAGAACATGAAAGGTGTGCCCGCCGTTAGGACTTCGGACTTCGGACTTCGAGGCGTTTCTCGCCCTTCGCCGAGACCGGAAGCGACGGAAAGGATTTCACGTAGTATTAAGTTCTAATCGCATTTGAAAGTTTTTCTCGGGGAAGTGCGTAGCATTGTGAGAAGTGCAATCGTCGTACTCTTGTTGCGCCCGGATAGATTAGAAAAACTGCGAGCGCGCGCCAGTGCACCGAAGCGTAGCATGTACGACCCTCCGCGCGTGGGCGGAGGCGATCTCTGGGTTCTCTCGTTCAGTTAATTGTATCCGCGCCGAAATACCGTACGTTGCGACTTCGCGTCTCTTTGAAACGGCCTGTACCACCGTGCTGTGTTACCGTACGGTCGCGATAAATTCTCGTTATGACAATCTTGCTCTACGACCGAGTAACTGTCACCGAAAAATTGTATAAAGAGCGCGGGCTTCGGGTGCGGCCTCGTGGCCGCCTATTTTGTAAATTTGACCAGGATTAAATGTTAATCTCGAGCCCTAAATTGGATCCGTTATTTCACCTGTGACATCCGCTCTGCCTTGAGGGCTGTCCCTACCAATTTCCATGTTCGAACTCTTGTTCTTGTTGCGTCTAGTTTTCTTCGCATTCGGAGATCGAATTTCGTGCGGCATTCTTCCAGTGCCTGGCGCCCGAACGGTCTTTCGTGCATTCCGATTCGAATGTCCGAATATCGCAAGGTTACGTAGACTGGGACCTGCTCGTGACCGATCTCGTTCTGCGAACGTGAGTATTAAATACTACCCTTTACTATGATGCAAAAATTCTGACAATTCGACCGAATGCCATTGATCTCGATTAGGGAGGCTCGAAATTTCTTTATATTTTAGGACAATTAACATTTACTTGGAGGCAATGGCTAAATTTATTACTGAACTTTTACTATGATTTTTTCAGACGATAACATCAATTTAAAATGATTTAATCTACAATCTACTCATCAATCTCTCTGTTTGCTTCCCCATTCCATGAAACTCAAGGTGCTCCAATCTAGCCAATGTGCGTGGCCCGGCCCAAGGGCTTGTAAAATCCCGGAGTTGCCCTCATTTTCCGGTTTGATCGCCGGTGGGAACGGGGGCAACGTCACAATATATAAACATAGTTTCGATGTATCACGATAATTAATCAATTAAGATAAGGCGTGCGAATTCTTGGAACAACGATAGCTTTGTAAAGGAACGGGAAGAACCGATCTCTGCGCGGATCGAAGCATGTCTAAAAAAAGAAGGTTGGAACATTGTTTCCCATACATTTTACTATTTAGGGGAACAAAAATCTTTTGGATCATGCAAATTTTTTGAAATTCGTATTTGACCGTTTTTTCGGGTCAAATCGACCACTGTGCGTCGTTTCGCGCTGGATAGATATTATTTATTGTTCCCATTCTACGCCGTTTGGTCTGCTCTTCGATACGCGAATGCGAGCACGAGACGACTCACATATCCGGGAGATTCTGGAAGAAGAATGGATTGCTCTGTTTCAAGAGCAACGGGATGAACTAAGGGCGAAGGCTAAGGAAACCATTGTCAAAATTCAGCAGAAGAATAGACGATATTTTAATAAGAAACGGAAGTAGGTTGTCGTGTATAGGGTGGGTGACCTGCTGGTTATCAAGAGAACGCAATTTGGTTTAAAATTGGCGGCAAAATATCTAGGTCCCTATAAGGTAACTCGAGCAATGCAGCACGAAAGATACACGGTCGAGAAAATTGGGAGCTTTTAGGGTTCTCAGTAGACTATAACGATCTTGGAAAACCTTGGATTAATGATGACGAAGAAGATATCATCGGTGAAGAAGAGGAAAGCATCTTGAGGAATCGAGAGTACGAACAAGACGTGTGCAGCCTCTGAGGGCAGGGGGATGGCTGAATGTGGGATGAGGGATCTTGGCAGGGTCTTTGTCAAGTGAAGAACGGGATCGCTCTGAACGACTGTTGTTTTTGTGTAGTTTTGTTTAGCATTTGAAATTGAGCGATAAAAGCGATGTAGTGAAATTTGTTAACGATTAAAACGGAGAAATAATGACGGAAGTCTGCGCGTTGTATTCACTGCATTTAATTAAGTGTTATGTGTTAAAAGTTTGTAATAATTGAGTTACATTCTTTTTAATTAATTGTTACATTAATATTCCATAAAAACTCTGATCCTACATTACGATCAACTAAATTAGGTTGGATTGTAACTGGCGAATAAGACTGCAAAAGGATGAATTTTAATCAACCAAAATCATGTTTTTTATGTACAGTATTTTTTGAACAAGCAGCATAACAAATTTTGGGAAGTTGCAACGAATTTTTGTACGAAGTAGATATTCGACAATAAAATATTATAGAAAATATTTGTGCTTTGTGTTGAAAAATACAAAAACAATGAAGAATCGAACAAAAACGTAGCCGTCTGCGTATAACGATAATTAATTATTCAAAACAAATACTTGAACAAAAAATTCGTTTATTTTACATTTCGTTAGATCGTTCAAGATAAAAACTTTTTGGTATGTCACAATCGTTTCTATCATTTACAGCTATATAAATAAATAAATAAAATTGTTTGTTTTAAAAAATTGCACGACGAGAACAGATCTTTTTTGGAATGTGATTCTACAGCATAAAAAACTGCAGAATTTATCTCTGACAAGTTTTGTCATATGTCTTTAACATTACGAAGTTATACAGAAAAGAAAAGAAAAAATGCAGAAACTTTGAGGGTTGATTTCACCCCGTTAAAGTGGAATTTAGTATCAACAAAAAATTTAATATCAACAAAAACTGCAGAATTTATCTCTGACAAGTTTTGTCATATCTCTTTAACATTACGAAGTTATAGAGAAAAGAAAAGAAAACATGCAGAAACTTTGAAGGTTGATTTCACTCCCTTAAAGTGGAATTTAGTATCAACAAAAAATAGTTCTGTGATACTGGAGACCTACCACAGAATTTTCGAGTTCGATAAATACCCTTGTAAGATACATACTGATCACTTTAATGAGATCTGTTATTTACTATACCACGCTGCATTTAAGGAATCTGACATTACTACAAAGTTAGAGTCGTTTTCGATGCTTGGGCTAAAATTTTTACCAGACAATCATTAAATGATGTTATATCAGTTGGGCCAATGATACAGGATCACCATTTCACTTAGATGTGGCACGCATGTATGTATACGTTTTAACTGATTATATTGAAAAGATGTTCAAAGAAATTTTGCAGAAGAAAGGAAATACGAAAAAATATTGTGACGTACTTCTCCGAATAAGCCTGTTGGAACGTATATGTTGAATACAGTAACTTATGGTACCGCGTCCACACCTTTTTTTAGGGGTACGTTGTTTGAAACAATTGGTAGATGATGAAATTGATAAATTCCCAATAACGGCACAAATTTTTAAGAGAGATTTTTATGTAGACGATATACTTACGAGAGTATCTGATTTTAAATCGGCGTTGAAGCTAAGAAACAATTTCATAGCGTTAGCAAAATTGGGAGGTTTTAATTTACATCAGTGGACTTAGAATGAGAAGGATTTGATTAAAGATTTGAAAATTGAATCGTATCAAATAGATATTTGCTTAGATCCGAAGATAAGTAAAAAAATGTTAGGCATCTTTTGGAGTCCATCTTTAAACAATATATTTTATAAAATTAAACTATTTAAGGAAAACAAACGCATTACAAAACGAGTAATTTTATCGCATATTGCCCAATTTTTTGATCCTCTCGAGTTGCTTGACCCAGTAATTATACGGGCGAAAATAATACTGCAGAATTTATGGAACGCCAACATAAGTTGGGACGAGCCTGTTCCACGGAAATTGTGAAGTATATGTATGATGAGCATATTATAGTGAGCTCCATTTATTAAACAAATTTTTTCTTAAACGTAAATGAACTATTGATAATGCAATAGATATTCAACTACACGGCTTGTCGGATGCGAGTAAGTCTGCTTACAGAGCATGTATTTTTAGTAGCAATAGGAAGGGAACCCATAATGTTTCCTCACTTTGTGCCAAATCACGGGTAGCTCCAGTTAAAACAATTTCACTTCCCCGACTTGAATTATGTGCTGCGGGACTCTTAGCTAAATTATATTATGAAATAAAAAATTTGTTGTTACATATACGATTTAGAAAAATATTAGATTTTAGTCGGATGTTTTATCGTCTGATAATCCAGCCGATTTCATGTCGCAGGGATAGTCATTAATGCAATTTCTAGAAAATTCTGTGGTTAAATGAATCTTGTTGACTTTCTAGTAATGCAAATTTAGAGCCAATTAAAGAGATTTCAGAAATTTATGTACCGGAGAAACGTAATGTAGTTTGTCTAATTACATTTTAATATTTTAAGAAGAATAATGTTTTTGACAGATTTTCATCAATTAATGCATTGAACAGGATTGTTGCATATTTATTACGGTCTTGTCACAACACTGGAAAAACAGCGAGTTGGGCCACTCACTACGCAGGAAATATTGGACGCTCACTTATGGTTTACACAGTTGTTACAAGGACAAACTTTTCCTCTGGAATTGCGTAATTTAAAATGTAAGGGAAATTTGGACAATAGTAGTAAAATATTAAACTTGAATCCCTTTGTTGGTGACTTTGGGATCTTACGCGTTGAGGATAGATTAAAATATGCTAATATTCGTTATTCACGAAAGTATGCGATTCTATTACTTCGCATTACATTACAAATTTAATTATACTGTACGAGCATTTACGTCATTGGCGATTAGGTATTTCCGCGACTTTAAATTCGACACGACAACGATATTGGCCGATAGATGCCAGATATTTCTGGCATATTATTATATTAAGAGACTGATTCAACAACTGACTGAAATAACAAGCGATACAAGATACTGTATCACAATTAGAAAAGCCAGTGTTATTGATAAATAAATTGTGGATTGATGAACTCCGACGGCTGTACAATAGGTAGAATAATCGGAGTACCATTGAAAAAGATACAATAGAACGAACACAAAGCTACAAGTAACAAATACACAGAGCCACAAGTGACAAATACATAGAGCCATAAATGACAAATCCACAGAAGCCACAAATGACAAATACAAAAAACAAAACAGCTTACGGTGAAGAATGAAATCTGGTAACCATTTCTACCTGCTAACCATTTCTTTCAGTTTTCTTTCCTCTCTTCCTTTAATGATAAATTTGTTTACTTTTGTCAATCAGTATTTCATATATTTTTCTATACCAATTACCGTGTTTGTAATATAGCTCATCCTAGAAAGTCATACATAACACTAAACCTACCGAGTATTTAATAATGTAATTTATCCAGTCGTTTCCCAGGAAAGCGTCTTTATAATCTCTACAATTATTGTCAAATGAGAAATCGATCATTTGACAGTAATGAGTTTAGTGTTAAAGCACCCATCGATCAAAAACCTTATTTTATTAATTAGCTTCTTCTAGTGACCATTCGCTAAGGTCAAATTCAAATCCATAC